AAATCAAAAGACAGAAAAAGTAAGAGTGAAATTGAAGAGAAGAGGCACAAAGAAGAAAAAGATGAAAGGAAGCATAGGGATGAGAAAAGAGATGCCAAGAAAGAGAGGAGACACAGCAGGAGTCGAAGTAGGGATCGAAAGCGTAGGAGTAGAAGTGTGAGTAGGAATGCTGGGAAGCACAGTAGAAGCAGAAGCAAAGAGAAGTCAAGCAAACACAAAAGTGAAAGTAAAGAGAAATCAAACAAGCGGAGTAGGAGCAGGAGCAGAGGAAGAACTGATAGTGCTGAAAAGTCCCGAAAACGAGAGCTTAGTCCCAGTAAAGAGAGATCACGGAAACGTAGTAAAAGCAAAGAAAGTTCTCATAAGCATGACCCCAGTGATAAGGACCACTCAGACAAACATGATCGTCAGAGGAGCCAAAGTACAGAACGAGAGAATCAAGAAAAACAATCTAAAAACAAAGATGAGACTGTATGAATGTTCAGAAGTGGATCATATTGAATCCTGTAAATGTTTGAAATCTTGCTTATTTTTTTTCCTTAAAGTTGAGGTTGTGCAGTAGTTGATGAGCACTCTTCTTCAATCTCCCTCTAGGCTGCAGATTGTCATTTCCTCTTTTGAGTAGGGAAGTGCCTTTGTAATCCCATTAAATGCATTGACTATTCCAGCCCATTGTTTAGTTAAAATTCAAGATACAAATCTGTGCATTTTTTTAACTTGTTCAAAATGTATCTGAAATGTACAATCTGTACATATGTCCTGAAACTGTTCTAATCCCTTTGGCATGGTTTGCCATGTTGGTTAAATTTGTATACGGCAATAAAACTGCCACTAATTCTACTTTGTTTTATAGATGTGGAATTATGGTTTCTCTCTCTGAATTAGCATGGCTGTGCTTTGCATAATAGTATGGCAGAAGCTTTTGAGGGTGGGTCTTGAACGTGTATTATAGCTAAAATATTTATGTGCATTCAACATCCATGAAGGCTGAAGCTCTAAAACTCGTGTGTCCATTTGTACTTCTTGTCTTCGAAAAGCATTTGAAATCTGTTTTTTATTTGTGACGTTCAAAAAGGCATTACTTTTAGGCTATGCTGTTCCAAGGGGGTAGCAATTTTTAAGGCAGGGATTTAGGAGTTGCTGAGGCTTATGTAGTAGTTCATGCTACCTCATAGGGATATTGATACGCCTATACCATATCTACATAGACTTTCTGGCTCACTTTTATTGTTCATGTAAAGATTCCATACAATATCCCTAGGGCTTTTTGTTGTTGTTGTTAAAAACAAAATTGGTGCCACCACCCTATCACTTATAAAGGAACCCCATGCTAACAAGACTGAAGAAGATAGAAAGAGGGAGCCGGGAAAGTGAAAGAAGGTCAAGCAGCAAACTTTAGTTTATGGCTTCCAAATCATTTTTTATAAATGAAAGACACATTTAAAGTATCTTCATAGTGTTCTTTTTTTAATGCATCATTTTTTTTACAAAGACCTTGTGAGCATTGCTTGAGTTGAAGAATTTTCTCTCTAGCAACGGGAAAACTAGGCAAATTTTTAAAACACTGATTACTTGTGAGATAATGTTAAAAATGCAGTATTGAAAAAAAATCATATCACAAAAGCTCATTTCTGTTTGGTAGACTTGTTCTAGTGACTTGTATAAGAAATATAAAATCTCTGGAATAAAGACTGGATTAATTTATTTGTGGCTTTTCCCCAGTTGTTCATTGCCAGCCGCCAAGTCATGTTGGTCTTTTCTGACTCATAAAAAGGAACAGTATGGTAGACTGAGCAGTTTAACATATAAAGAATAGACTTCCCAGCATATGAGTGGAATGGTGGCAATTTGATACATCAGTTAATGGCTTTAAAAATAAGGTTTAGATCGATGAACTGCATAGTTATCTCTTTGCTTCACTTTTTGTCTATCCACCTGCAAGAAATGCAAAAAAAGTCCTGTATTTTGAGTGTGTGAAGGTTAACTGCTATTCCCCTTCCATGTTAATTTCCAGAGGCTTTGTCTTACAATGAACATTTCCGTCTCATGCACTATATATCTGAAAAAGGCTCTTAGTATTCACTCAGCAGGTGAAAGAAGAGGTATCAGAATTGTGGTGTGGTACTTTCATGGCAGCCAGAAAGCTGTTATTTTGCATGCATGTATTACAAAATACTCTGATTGCTAGAAGTTCCTTAATGTATCGAGGAATCCTCAGCTTTAGGTGTTCTTGCAGTCCCTGCAAAATGCGGACAAGATGTAATATCAAATGGGTAAGTCGCTCTGCCTTGCTTACTAGGAATTTTGATCTGTACTGACATGTCACTGCTAAGACTGCTGCAGCAGTAGAGGAGCAACATTATCAGGGTGAACACAGTGGTGCAGTGAATACAGAATGGGAATTGATAAGATCCTTCTACCCTAGTCCAAACAAAATTGCCTTGCACTGATGGTTTCTTACCTGTCTATCTCAGTTTGTTTCCCGTGAAACCTGGTGGTTGTCAGCATTCTTCTTTCCCTTGTAGATTACTGCAAAAACAAACCAAAATACATATTTCAGATTTGGCAGATTAGGCTAAGTAGATGGGCAAACTATATTTACCCTGCCTGTTTTAATCCCATTTTCCTAGTCTCTCCCCCCCCCCCCGGGTTTTGGGGTTGTTGCTCCTGTTTCCTGGGACTCACAATCACTTTGAAAGGCATTACCTGCCCCACCCTGCTTGTGTGGGGAGGTATCTTTAGAATGTGGTGATGTCCAGCATGAAGTCCAAGATGAAAACTCATGTTGCAGGGGGATAGCCCTAGGGCTGAAAACTAGTTTTGATTGAGTCCTGGCACAAAGTAGCTTAAAATGTTGTGTAGTATAATATTTATATTCCAGGTTATTTCCTTAGACTCAAGGTAGCTAACAAATAAGCAGCAAGTTGAAAACATATAAATCAAGTCCATCAACAAGATGGCATCTACACTGGAGTTGACCAACAATGACTGGGTTTTGTTTTGTTGTAGGTTAATTGGTTTTTCTTTGTTGAGCAAATTTTCCCAGGTTGGAAACTGATCTTTCTTATTTTTACTTTCTATAGTATATAGCTTGGGCTTGTTTCCTTGAACTATCTTTTAAGACACATTTCAGGGAACCTTTATATTTTGTGGTGCCAGGCCTGCACAGGGGGAAAAAATTGAGACTCCAAGTGCCAACACCAAATATGTATGAGCCCAAGTGACCAGTGCCCTAAGATCTTCCAAACCCAAGTCTAGATCACAAAAGCTAGAAATAGAAAAAGCTAAGGATCTGTGAACACTTCTTATGCATCAGATTTTATGTGGAGTTAATGATGATTATTCTTGACCACTCTTTTTAAAAGCTGAATCCAAAAGTGGTGAAACTGAGACTGCCAGCAAATGATTTCAGAATAGGTAAACCAAATTCCCGCTCATCCAATATCCACCAAAAGTAACCCAAATGGCCTACTCACCCATTCCTACTGAACTTCCAGAACAAGTCACTAGAAATATAAGAAATATACAAAGTTCAAAACCTTAATATCTGTGATAAATTGCACATTAATAATGAACACCATCATCATATATTCCAAGTCTCAACCCAGCCAAATCCAAGGATACAAAACACCTAGATCTTTCCACAAACCTAAAAAATGCCTCAGGTTTGCAAAAAAATAAATAAATAAATAAATAAAAATAGGGGATTAAAAAACAGTCAAAATAGTAAAAAGAGTGTCTGTAGCTTTTAGAAATGGAGGCCTTCAATGGCCAATACTAGGCAGCCACTACAGTTATGAAAGCATTCTGGGCTTGGTTTGTCAGGAAAAGGCAGTGGGAGGGGTAGGCCTTTAAGGGAGGACTGCAGTGACCACTCAGCAGCTTGCTAGCCTGCAACTTGCATGACTCAAAGAGGCCACCACTGTTGCTATTCAACACCAGCTACCCAATGAAAAGCAGTGTAGCGTGGGTAGAGTTTCAGACTAGGTCCTTGAATCCCAGTTGCACTGTGAAAATTCAGTGGGTGACCTAGGTCAAGTTGCACATTCTCATGCTAATTTGCTTCAGTTCCAGTGGGCTGATGGGCTCCCCCTCACACCTGGGCCAAGCCATGTGACCGAAGGGCTGTCCAAGATGAGGCAGCAAGAGCACCTGGCCTGCCTGAACATTGTCCACCCAAGCCTCACACAGGGCAGGCAGCGGGGCCTAGCCTACCTGAAACCCATGTGAGGGGGGCAGCAAGGGTACCCTTCCCCCCCCCCAAGCATGACATGAATTGGGAGGAGCAGCAGTGCCTGGCCCACTGAAGCCCTGTGTGAAGTTAGGAAGGTGGTGACACCCAGCCTGCTTGAGCTGTACGTGAAGGTAAGGCAGGTGGTAACCTGCCTTACCTGAGCCCCATGTGAGGTGGCGATGCTCAGCCCAAGCCCCAAATGAGGCAGATGGCCACAGCCGTCCTGTCTGAGCACCACACAATGGTAGATGGGCTGCAGCATTGGCCAGCCCTGTGTGAGGCAGGCAGCAGTAATTCACCCAACTCCTACGCAAGGCAAGGGAGGCAGCAGTGCCTAGCCTGGCCCATGTGAAGGAGAAGGTAGCATCTGGCCTGTCCCACCCAAGGCTGCAGCCAGCTCATCTGATCCTGAGGTGAGCAAGGACATGGCACCCAGTTCACCTGAGACCCACGCAGAGAGGTTCACAGCCCTCCTGAGGCCCACACAAAACCAGGGAAGCAGTGCCCAGTCCTCCTAAAGTGGCCCAAGGTCTACCTGTGCCCCATGCAAGGAAAGCAGCACCCAGCCAAACTGGTCAGGAATGCTGCCTTTTCCTTCCTACTTTGAGAGGATAAAGCAGGGCCAGGCAGACTGCCTCTTCCGCTCTCCCATGCTCCTTCCTTGGGTGGGGGGGGGGCTGTTCCAGGGTTTCTCTCTCCCAGTCTGCACCTTTTCACAGGGTTGTTGTGTGGCTAAAATGGAGGTGACCAGTGTTCCCTCTAAGCTGAGTTAGAGTGAGCTAGCTCACAGTTTCTTAGCCTCCGGCTCACACATTTTTGTCTCAGTTCAGGAAGGAGGGCTCCAGAGCAAACTAATTAATGCAGGAGCCAAATCGCCGGCTCACAACTTTAATGCCAGTAGCTCACAAAGTAGGATTTTTGCTCACGAGACTCCACAGCTTAGAGGGAACATTGGAGGTGACATGAATTATGTAAGCTGCTTTGGGTCCTCATTGTAGAGAAAAGGTAGGGTGTATATTAATTAAATAATAAATGTGGCTGAAAATGGGGAGGGCAGATAAATGTTAGGTTGCTTGGTGGGTGGGAAGGACAGAAGGAAGCAGGCAAATTTGCCCAGGAGAAGAGAAAGATGAAATAGTGCAGGGAAGGTGATACAGGGGGAAATGAGGTGCCATTCTCTACTTGCAGTTCCCCAGTATGCAAATAGACCTGGCCTGGCACTGCAACTGGACCGTAATTTTCCAAGTAGAGGCTGCCATGGGTTGAGAAAGAAGGAAAACTGAAGACTAGTGAGGAGGGTGTGTGTGATAAAAGTAGGTTCATTGTTGGGGAGGGGGGAGAAGGAGGCAGGAAAAGGGGAGAGCTTTAAGGGAAGGGAAAGAAGATAGTGGGAGCGGGATTGAGATACTCCCACAAGTCCTTGCTGGTTCCCACTTGTGTATTCTAACAGCCAAGTGTGATGCCATCTGGAGATACTTAAATCCATGGATTGGGGTCATGGAGAAAGAATGCTTTTTCCTGCAAACTTGGGCATTGTCTGCACAAGCACAGACAACACAAACACTCTTTTATTGGCCTGCTGCTTGGAGGGTGGGGGGAGCAAGAGTTGCAGCTCTCCTCAACCAGGGAGGAAAACAAGGTGGTGGCTGTCTAGGGATGGCACCATTCTCAAGGCTGCCCCCCCCCAATCACTGTGATCCACAATGAGGCAGTGAGGTTGCTGCAGCTTTGCTCCAGACAGCCTCCCCACTGCGGCCAGCACAGATCCCAGGGGCTCTGCCATTCCTGGTGGGACCAATGCAGCTCTGCCTCACCATCTGCCCACCACAGCCTGAGAAAAGCAAGGAGGCTGACCCACAGGCTCCTTATATGTGGCTTTGACTTTCACTGCTGGGGAGACTGCTGGTGTAGGATCCAGCTGAAGTCTAGCCTCAAAGCAGTCCACAGAAAATGCCAGCTCTAGTGGCCCAGGAGGAAGCCAAGGCAGGGCCAGAGAGGACAGCCCGGGCACAGCCCTGGGGGAAGCTGGGCCTGGTGGCCTACACCAGCCAGTCCCCTGACCTAATCAGTGTAGGGAGGCAGCTGGAGGGGGTGTGTGAAAATGAGGAGGGGGTTGAAAAAGGGATGGAAAGGGCTGGGGAGCAGGGGAATCAGAAGCAGTGCAGTAAAAGAGAGGAGAGCGCTCTGGGGGAATCCCCTCCTGTGAGTCAAGGGGGCAAAGAGTGACCAAGGGGAACAGTGATGGAGAAGGGGGGGGGAAGGGGAGAAGGTTGACAGAGAAAGGATTGGGAGAAAGAGAGTGGGGGGAGAACGATAGAGGGGGGGAAGCAAAAGCAAACAATGGGATGCCACTTTCCTGCAAGTTCCTTATGTGTCCCCGCTTGTTGTTTTGTAATATTTGCAAAATGAATTTCACAAAATAACTTTTAAAAAGATCCACAGCAGTCAAGCTAAAAAGGATAGTTAAATGTTTTAACAGTGTTAAATGTTTTAAGTTTTAAATGTTTTGACTGTATATGAACCTTGGTACACTGTGCCAGGCAATGTGAGCCGCCCTGAGCCTGCTTGTGGAGAGGGCGGATTATAAATACAACAAATACATAAATACTTCCGGATTGTTGGCTTTTAGAACAGCCAAATGTTTAAATTTCGGTGTACAAACTTGCAAAACATTAGCATGTGAAAGCATATTAGGATCAAAGTGATCCTAAATGTATAGTGCTGCAACAACAGCATAATTATGTATACATTTACTGGGTGACATCCTGCAATCTATAAGTGGAAGGTGCTCTCCAACTTGGGAAAGTTCATTTGCAGAGTCATGAGATCCATGTGTTCCAGTACTCTTGGATTGGAAGGCTGCTGTGAGGATGAGAAGGTGGAGAAATCACCTTCTGTCAGGAGAGCTCTGCTGCCAGTAAAGGGAGGAGAGGGGAATTTTGCTGTCATCTCCTAAATGCAGTCTCCCATCCTATGTGGCTACTAGTTCATGCTGGACTTGTGAGCACAAGACTAAACTTTTTTAGGGTCAGAAGGGACTGCTGAAGGGAGTAGAATATGAAAAAGATCCAGTCTTTGCATCTATGGAACACTGGATCACATCAATTTTCTGTATGTTCACAGCTTTTCCTTAACTCACCAAGCTTTTCTGTGTCAGCAGACCAGATACTGATCCATCTGTGGAAGCAGGTGTGTGCCCTTTCCATTACCAGGTCAAGAGGTACTGTAGTATCTTTCACAGCAATTTTGTGGTATGATTGCAACAAGGAAATCAAATCCATGCAATAACTAATTATTAATCAAGCCTCTTGTGTGGAAAGCTGACTGCCATTGTCAACCATTAGCAAGAATAGCTGGTCATTGGATGGAAATTCAGTATGTGGTAGCACTTTATATGCAAGAGCTGGTCCTTAGTGGAAAGCATTAGTGGAATCAAATGCTAATGATTCATGTTCTTAATTTGATTCATTTGCATGTGCAACCCCTTCTCCACTTGGACAGCAATTCAAGCAACGTAACTTTGTTACCTGAATATATTTTCTTAGGGCAAAATGTAAGTTTTGATCCTTTATCAGTTACTGGTGATACCACGACTGTATAGACATCTCCACAGGGTATCTCAGTGACATCACAGTAACTCACGGCTACACTGGATGTGCAGGTGAAATTTCCTTTTGAACCATACAGATCTGTAGTGTAGTTTATTGACCCTTCCAAAGTCCGCCAGTATATTCGTATGCCATTATTGTCCAGTCTATACAGTTTAACTCCAGCTGGGCAGCAGGCACCTCAGAGGAAAAAAGAAATTGAATAGTGGTTACTTATAGACAGTAAGGAGCTGCGGTGGCTCAAGTGGTTAAGACGCTGAACTGCAGGCTGTGGAAGAAGGTCGGTAGTTCAGCAGTTCGAGACCCGGGTGCCGCATGATGGAGTGAGCTCCCATCTCTAGTTCCAGCTCCTGCCAACCTAGCAGTGCGAAAGCAAGAAATTGCAAGTAGAGAAATAGGGACCACTTCGGTGGGAAGGTAACAGCGTTCTGTGCGCCTTGGTGTTTAGTCATGCCGGCCACATGACCACAGAAATGTCTTCGGACAGCGCTGGCTCTTCGGCTTTGAAACGGAGATGAGCACCGCAACCCTAGAGTCGGATTCGACTGGCTTTCGAGCAAGGGAACCTTTACCTTTATAGACAGTAAGAACTGCCAGAATCCATAACTGATTTTTATTGGGCGAAATAAAGTAACTTTTCAGATAGCATACTGAATTAGGTTCTCTTGTAAAAAGCCAGCCAGTTTGGAAACTTAATCTCTTGCAGCCTAAAGCTAGCCATTTGTTGGAATATGCAAGGTCTATTGTGCATGGATGGGAAGATGACAACAGAGGGCAGTAGAGGGGACAACTAGTTAGCATAGTGAGATTATGGACTTCCTATTTTCAAATAGTCTCCTCCCTGTCTCCTGTTGAGAACTGTTAGTTTGCTGACTCCCTCCTAGTTAGTTACACAGACTTTTCTTTCTCTCCTTTCTTACAAAGTTTGTTCTCTTTTTAATAAATCAACAATTCTTTAAAAAGCTTGTGCGCCACTTTACTGCATATCTACAGTCTGCCAACACCATTTTAAATGCCTAAGCAAAGGTCTAGAAGCAGATAAAGGTGTAATTTGATACATTACCTACTTCTCAGCAGCAAAAATGAACATTTAGGTGAGATATTAGATGTATCAATAGAATAACAAGGGCAGGGGTGGGTGCCCTTCTCAGCATCTTCTGAAGACATAGTCCAGGACAAAGGTCCCATCTGTCCAATGCAAGAGTCTTGGAACTCTACAAATAGCCTAGTACATTTCTTTCTTTAAAATATTTATATACCTTTCTTTCTCCCAAGCATCTCAAGGTAGGTAACAATAATATAAAAACAGTATTAAACCAAATAAAACTAAACATTAAAGCTGATTAAACTAAATAAAACAATAAACATTAAAACGGATATAAAATGCTAAAACAAATCTTTAAAAAATCCTTATGCCCCACTAGCAGAATAATCCTGTTTTGCTCAGGTTCAGGCTCTCCAGAATAACTCTATTGTACCCTCAATACGAAGCCAGGAGAGTAGAAAAATACACACGCACCTCCTTGGGATTGCAGAGGTCATTGTTGAATCAATTGCCTGAATTACATTATAGCCTGGCCCCTTCACTTTTGATCATTAGGAGGCACCCGAAAATAAATAAATAAATTGTGATTTTAAATTTTAGCTTTGTTTTTATAATCTATTTTATATATTTTAGTAATATTGTATGCTGCCTTGAGCTCCGTATGAGAAAAAGGCAGCTAATAAATATTTTAGCTAAATAAATAAATTTAATAAGATCAGAACATAATGTAAACAGTGCATTTAATACATGCATCTGATTTTTTAAAAATTGCAGTTACAACAACCTACTTACTGGAAGAAAATCTTCTGTATATACAATCTGAAATCAAGCCTGTTTCACTGATTGCTTTGACAGATACAGTGTAGTTGGTGCCACATGTAATGCATCCTAGGAGGCAACTGTTTTGGAGTGTGTGACATCTGGCCTGTCGTTTGTGTGATTCCAAAGTTGTTATGTATGTCTTCGCACCAGTCCCAATAGACCAGCTGATGTTTGTTACAGACTGTGTAACTAGGGTTACTGTAAGATCAGCTGGGCAGCAAGGAGCTGGAAAGAGAGGGAAAAGGGTTAGTTTTCCTTAGAACCTGATTATTTTTTACTGGTCTTGCTTTGCAAAATGCAATATATAGAGCCAGTAAAGAGAGCTGATCTTGGAATCTTAGGTAAAAATGCTACTCTTTCCTTATCCCAACACTGACTTTTCAAGCTATGACTTGAAAATACTATGAAATGGCTAGCTTGACAGCATGGGTGATTTCTTTGTTACTTGTTGCTACATCCCACACCAATCTCTGGTGACAAGGTTCCTTCTTCACAAGATCACCCCAGTAACCAACCAGCAACCAAATGGAACAGGTAGCATTGCTGGTAACCATCAACAGTAATTACTGAGACCAGTATTTGCCGGGAATCAGGGAGCCATGATGTGAGGCAGCATAGGGGGGCTGAAGTGAGGAGGGGGGATTGGGCAAAATTGCCATCTCCCTCTTCCATTGGCAAACATGGCTGGAGAATGTATAATTTTTCCTGCCCGGGGCAGTTGTTTATAAAGATAATGGCACCAAAAGTGCACAGATGGACCATATACCTCCTTCTAGTCTAAAGAGCTCCCAAGTTTCAAGTGAACTGAACCAAGAGGGTAAATTTTATGGACCCATGAGGTAGATACCTCTTGGTGCAGACCATAGTTCCCTCTAAGCTGAGTTCGTGTGAGCCAGCTCACCATTTTTTAGCCTCCGGCTCACACATTTTTGTCTTAGCTCAGAAAGGATGGCTCCAAAGCAAACTGATTTATGCAGCAGCCAAATCGCTCACTCACAACTTTAATGCCGGTAGCTCACAAAGTAGAATTTTTGCTCACAAGAGTCCACAGCTTAGAGGGAACATTGGTGCAGACCCAGTTCTCTCCACTGGTTCCTAAAATAGCAGCCAGGCAGCAGCTCCAACCAGCCACAGCAGTAAACCAAAACAAAACCAAATAAAAACCTGCCTGCATTCTCCTTCTCTTACAGAGACTGGCTGACAATCAAAATTTCTTACCTTTCCACTGAAAACTCTGCATTTGCCATCCTTCCTTCTTGTGACCTGTTTGTTTCCTTTCACAAAGTAAAAGTGGCTTTGTTTTCAGGAAAAAAAAACCCATCCCTTTCTGTTGGTCTGCATTATGGGGGCGTACTAAAACAAATGCCTACTGGGAACAATGGGAGAGAAGAATACAAAGGGCTGCACCAATTGGAGCAAAGAGATATTTCATGGTAAACTTTTTTTGGGGGGGGGGATCTGTGGACTATAAATACAGGAATGCTTCCACTACAACAGCTTTTTATTGGAATAAAACTTTCTTCCCACTGCACCATTGTTTCCCCCCCCAGCTCTTTGAACAATGGCAGAGAGGCCCAAAGGCCCACTGGATGTAATGGGAGCAAGGAATGCTAATTGACTTGCATAGGCTCCACAAGAAAAGTTACAAGATACCTGCCCTGGGCCTGGAATGACAGCCTCCAGAGTGGAATGACGATCCCTGGGAGTATAATTATATTCCCTGGGTACACATAAAATGCCCTGGTATTGGAATCACAGCCCTGAGAATGACTGTCCCTGGGACTGGAATCCGTGCTCTGGGGCCTGTCAGTCCTGTTCCAGCCTACTGATTCCAGTCCCAGAAGACATCATTCCACTGGGGTCTGTCATTCCAGGCCCACTATACTCATGCTATTCCCAGGGACCATAATCCACTCTGGGAGCTACCATTCCTGTCCCAGAGTGGGCTTTCTGGGCCCAGATTCCATCATTCCACTCTCTCTAAATCCATTATGCATTTTTAATGCAACTTTTGTTTGCTGCAATGTATTTCAATGGAGCCCATGCTAGTCAGTTGGCAATCCTGGTTCCAATTATATCCAAAGCTTCCTTCAGGCATCTCCCATAGTTACCAACGGGCATTCTTGTCATTTGTTTTAGTTCATCCTGCCCCAGCTGTCTATTCACCACAGAACAACGAAAGTGTTTAACCTCCCCTCCCCCCAAAAAAAGAAG